GGAAACTCTGCCAGTATGAAGGCTACCACCAGGTGCACCCACCCCCGGCCCTGCACCTCCAGATCCCAGAGCTCTGATAAACCTCATCTTCAAAGTGTACTCAGTCTGTGGTATTGTGTGCTTAGCAATGGAAAACAGGTAAGACACTATTTGCTAGTTTATGCCAAGGAGCCTCCTCTACCAGCTCCTTCTCACCTATGTAAAGCAAGTGGTGAGCAGAGAAGAATCACAGTAAGGCAGGTAATATTAGTGGCCCATGTCGTGGAGCCCTAACCTAGGGGCTGCATCCATCTCCCGGGAGAGATACCTGCTGCTCTCAGCAACCTGGGCTTGGGACTGGCTTCTGGGCTAAGGAGGAACTCAAGGCCCCCTTAGCTCTCTTCTTATGCTCTCAGGGCTGACATAGCTCCTAGCGACCCTCCACTCTTAGTGGGCTGGTTATTTCTAGAAATATGCTATTACTACCCTTCAATTTTCAGTTGAGTCATGGCTCAAACCTGCTTTTTAAAAAGGTGACTCTGCATCTCTGCTCAAATCTGCTTTATGTATGTTTTACAGAGTCTGGTGTGTGTGTGTGTGTGTGTGTGTGTGTGTGTGTGTGTGTGTGTATGTTACTGGGAACTGAACCCAAGGCTTCCTGCATTCTAGACAAGCACTTTGCCACTGGGGCATATCTAGAAAGTGCAATTCTCAGATAGCAATTTCATTTCTCTAGTTCCAGATTTTTTCAGAGCAATTTGGTTTGACTTCATGAACAATCTACCACATCAAATAGGCCTATCTTGAAATTATGTTTCTTGAAACAGCACCAAATATGCACAACAAAATGTATTACTGATACTTGTATCTGACAGACAGACACATTGGTGCCTCCACTCATGAACCTAATTCTTTCCAAGATTTTGCAACTGTCCCACAATCTGGTTGTAACTAAACTGCAAGCATGTATGTACCTGAACCATGGAACAAATTCTACAACCAGAATTGTGGAAAGAATTAAATTTGTGAACAGAGGTACCACTGCACAAATCCTTAGTAGGATGTCTTACTTTTCCAATGCTGGGACAAAATACCAGACATCCACAAATTTAAGGAGAATGGGTCTGTTTCTATTTTAGTGTGTAGAGGCGTCAGTCCATACTTGGCTAGTTTCAAGCCAGGGTGACAAGGCAGAGGAGAACAGTCCACGGAAGGGTAGGCACAAAGCAACCAGCAGCTAGTCTACCTCGCCCCTTTTATCCCACCTAGGCTCCAAGCCTATTGAGTGGTGTCTTCCACACCCAGAGGGGGTTTTCCCATTATCCACACCCAAAACTATGTGAAGTCAATCAGTGGACTGCTTTAGTCACCACACACCCTTTGTCCCTATTCACATACCTAGATCCCGCCACCTTCGAAAAGACCCACGTGTGAACCATGCAGCTTCTGGGGGACATCTACATATAACCATTTCTACATCTACCTAGGGTGAGAGTTAACAAATATTGGATGCCCCCAATATGCTATAATCAACCATCTACTGAGATAAAAATTTCTCCTGTATATGCTTCTGTCTAAAATCCAAACACAGAAAAATTCCAGTGCATGAATTGAATCAGCTGTTGCAGATTCTGGGTATGTACATTATCAAACCATAAAAGGATGTTTTGTTTGAGACTTATTTCAGTGAATAATAAAAATTATGGATATTGTGAAAATTATCTGTAAATGTCTTATGAAAGCAAAATGTAAACATAAAAATTTGTTCAAATTACAAGATGTCCATTTGAAATGCAGCAAATTTGGCTCTAGGGACATTTACAGTTTTGATTATTAAAACAAATCTTTCCTGCAAAAAGAATCGCGTGCTCTATAGTCACATATAAACTACACTTATTGAGATTCCTGAGCAAAGCCAGCTTTTGCATGCCCCTAGAGGAAGAATCTAGAGTTCCGTTAGTGGAAAAAATTCTTCACAATTGAGGAAAGGCTGTAGACTCTAACACCCACTCTATCATGCCTGAAACTTCCATTAGAGATTTGGACATTGGGCTGGGGTTTAGACTGGTGGTAGAGCATTTGCCTCGAATGTGTAAGGCTCTGCGTTTGTGCCCCTGAACACCGTCAATGAATGAAAAAATAAATTTCAATTGAATAATCTAACAGCCACATTCAGTACTATGTCAATTTTAGGAACCCATATGGAACAAAGGATGTTGGTAAAAGGAAGCCATGAATATGGTAGAGAATTCACAATGCTGAGGTTTCAGTTTTCTTGAACTTTAAAAAAAATTATTATTTTTAAAATTTGGTACAGGGTCTCTATGCAGCTTGCACTCATAGTGATCCTCCTGTCTTGGCTTCCCCAGCACTGGGATTATGGGCATGCACCGCCATGCCCGGTTTCTGCAGAGGGCTTGGCGTGCAGTACTGGGGAATGAACCTGGGTCCTTGTGCTTGCCGGGCATGTGCTTAGACCACTGAGGTAAACTCCGGCCCTAAACTCCATTTTAATGAGCTGTGCATACTGTACATCTGAGGAATATCTTGCACTAAATTGTAAAACAGGCTAATATTATCTGCAGCTATTAAAAAATAAATCAGTTTTTACCAGAGAAGGGAGATAATTCTGTCTGATTTTCTGGCTGGCAGATTGCTCAGGTAATCTCTTTGGTAAAAGTGTTCTTCCTCTTTTTTTTTTACCAGGTTGTGATTGTGCAAAACTAAAATAGTGGCTTTCCTTCATGCCAAGAGAGATGTTTGTGGCACAGTACAACCTTTATTTTTTATTAGTACACATCTGCAGTATATGGTTACAGACTGTGGGAGCTGGCATGTGTGGAGGACACATTCTAATTTTTTTTTATTGTCTTCTCACAAACTCGTCAACACGTCTATGTATGTGCATCTGGCCTACTGGAAAACACTCAGTTCTTACGTTTTAAAAGCATTCTCATTGGGCAGTAAAACTTTTCTCATACATCTCACAGAAAACCTAAGTATGGACATGTCATAGTCACAAAGTAACGATTTATAGTTTCAGAACAAGCATCGTGAAGTTATGTGGTGTGTGGCAGAGAAGGAGCCATTCAAGAGCTCACCCAAATGCCCAGGAGAGACAGCGAGGGGCCAAGGACAGGGGCTACTTTGAAAGCGTATTTGAAACAAGGCGAGAAGACTTTGGGACTTTGAAAATGCCCCCAAAATGGAATGAAAACAACAGCCTTTTCTGTCTTTATCAGAGCTCTAACTCACAGATCTGTTCTCAGAGGGTCCTCACGGCTGAAACTACATATATGTATTATTTTTATAAGTGGCTGGGGATATAGCTCAGTGGCTTAAGTGTATGCCTGGCAAGCACAAGGTCCCAAGTTCAATCCCTAGCACCGCCAAAAACAAAAACCAAATTGTCTATTTATTATTTTTGTTGATATAGGGTCTCCCTACACAGTTCTGACAGGTAGTGATCCTCCTGCCTCAGCCTCTCCAGTGCTGGGATTACAGGAGTGCACCACCATGCCCAGTTCCTGGGCCAGCATGACATGTGGTAGTGGGGATTGAACTTGGGACCTTGCACTCGCCAGGCAGGCACTTAGACCACTGAGCCCTAAAATTATGTTTTTTAAAACAATATATACATTCCTTTAAGCAGCCTAAGCCATTTTAAGTACAGATTTTTTTAAGGATCCTAGAAGTAGTGCATATCTGTATAACTCAAGTACAGAGGTGGCTGATCTTATAAGCAAAGAAACTGAGTCACAGGGGCATTACACTGAAGTAACAAATTTCCTAAGTTATGAGTTAGGATTGTTTCATACCAATTGTACCAGCATCAGTTAGAATTTATGATCCATCAAGTTGAAGCCCTTGGTATCATGAACTATGCCTTTACAAAGAACATCTTAGGTAGTTATACATACATACATATGTAACATGTACACCATATATGCCTCATTAATACCACTTTGAGAAACTAATTTGGTTGGTGGAGCTCGGGATTTAGTCACTAAATTGAAGTACTGCCCTCAAATTGTCTCATGTAAGGTCTTCTTTTGGTCTGAGACAGGGTCTCACTACATGGTTCAGGCTGCCTTGAATTCACTTTGTAGCCCAGGCTGGTCTTGAGCTTGCAGTGACCCTCCTGCCTTTCCTCCTGGGTGCTGGGTTTAGGGCATGTGCACCATGCCTGGCTGTCTGGTGTAAGTTTAAGGTAGAACGCTGCCCGTCTCTGGGACTGCTGTAGCTCACCTGCAGAGAGCAAGGGTGACGTCGGTCCTCTGGTTGACACGCATCACTGCCACGTGAGGGCGGCCTCCGCTGCGCTGCGTAGGGCAGTGGGCTGAGGGCTCCAGGGGTGTGTACGAGGGGTACAGTGACTCATCACGCCATAGGCCCCGAGGGCCCTCGCTTCTGTTTAGCTGGTGCACAGCAGGAACTCTGGCAATTCGCTAGTTTTGGTGATGCCAAAACAAAGCCAAGCCACATCTCCTCAGGGCACCTTTACCGAAGTCTCCTCACCACCCCCCAGCCATGTTTCTGTTCCATTTTCCTAATAATGGGAAATTCGTTTCTAGCACTCACCAGTTTATAATGATCTACTGACTGCATGACTAACGGCTGAACAGACTACCATGCAGCAAGCTCCAGGACGACAGATCATGCTTATTTTACTTTCCATTTTACTACTTGCCAGTCTAGTGCCTGGTGTATTGGATACACTCAGGAAATGTTATTTTTCTTGTTTTGTATGGTACTGGGGAATGAACTCAGGGCCTTGTGCATGGTAGACCAGCACTCTACCACTCAGCTGTATCCCCAGCCCAGGAAATGCTACTGAGTCTGTGAAAATGGTATTTATCTTTCTACTGATACTTTTTTTTTTTTTAACGGAACTGGGGATTGAACTCAGGCCCTTGCGCTTGGCAGGCAAGCGCTTATTCTACTGAGCTATCTCCCCAGCCCTCTGCTGGTATTGCTGACATAAGATGAGGGAGGGGTGAGACTCCCTTGGGAGGCAAACTATGGTAGTGCAGAAGGTCCTGGAAGCAGGTAAAAAACGCTCTGGGTGACAGGTAGACAGAGGTGCCAGCTAGGAAGAATCTTCTATATATCTATCAAAGGGGGGCTTCCTTAGTAAAAAGACAGGCAGCCCTAATAAGTAGATTAAATGTGCTGCTTGATTTTGTGATTTTATATTTGAATTTTTATTAGTTCATGTTTATATTCCTTGTGGGGAACTGGTCCATGTACACATTTTTTAAATGTATTTAGGACAGGGTCTACAGGGTCTTACTACACAGATAAGACTTGTAGTGATTCTCCTGTTTCAGCCTCCCAGGTGCTGGGACTACAGGCACATGCCCTGCATGGCACACTGGGGATCGAACCCTGGCCGCTGTGCTCTGCCTTTGCAGGCCATAATATGTCTTAATTCCTTGTTTAACCTCTCTACTCCCTCCCCACTCCATCTCCTCCCTTTGAGAAAGGGCTCCCTGCTTCCTACTATCTTTTAGTTTACTCTTTATTCATATTTTGGGTTTCTCATATAAGTCAAGTGATATTTAAGCTTGAGTGTCTGATTTGTTATTTTACTTAACACTGTGGCCTCAAGGTGCCTCCCTGTGCTTACAAGTGACTCGAGTTTATCTTCATGGTAGAGCAGAACTCAGTGTGTAAACACATTTCTTTATCCATTTCTCCACTGATGGATGGTTGTGTAGGCTGCTTCCAAGACTGAGCTTATTTGAGTATTTTCTATTCCTTTCCCCCATTCTTCTGGTTAATACAAAGTCTCATGAGGGAGCCTTACTGAAAGGAAAGTAGGCTCCTAGGTTCTTAGACCACAACTTACCAGGAGACCAAAATCCTGCTGGGCAGAGCATGCTTTACTACTACAACCTTGGTTGACGTTTACAGTTGAAGGCTTTAGATCATCTGATTCCTAAGGATGTACTGTGAAGTGGGCAGCTCAGAAGTGTGGTCCTCGGCTTACAGAAGCAAGGGATACTTATAAGCGATTCATTTATCCCACTTCATGTGGAAATAAGAGCAAATTACCATTTCTGAGTGTTTACTGGGTTTCCAGGCACTACGCCAAACCCTATACATTTGATGTATTATAATCCTCCACATATTTCCATGAGATAGGTAACCATTACTGTTAATTCCGCTTTATGGTAAGGCAACTAAGACTTGGAGAGGTCAAGTAACTTGGCCCAAATTATGTAAACAAGAAGACAGAGCCAGGCTCAGGGCTTCATGTGGGGACAAACTGCTGTGCTAAGCAGCAGCCCTGGGAGATCTCCAGTGAACTATACTATTATTTGTGTTTGCTACTGGAGATCTTGTGACTCCTGATTCAGTCCTGTACTTGAAGCTGCTATTTTCTTAAAACCTGTTTGCAGTTTTTCCTTAAGATTTTATTTAACTGGTGACACAGTGATGTCACTGTCAATCACTGAAATTGTAAGTTCAGATAAAAACTGCTACAGTTACTAGTTTTAAAAAATTAGTTAGCTGGGCAGGGTGGTACACACCTATAATCCCAACACTCACAAGGCAGACAGGATGTTGCAAATTTGAGGCCAGCCTGGGCAACACAGGGAGTTCAAGATCTTCTCTCAAAGCAAACAAACCCCATGAAAACTTTTTTAAAAAATTTGTTTGTTACAGGGTCTCCCTACACAGCTCCAACTTGCTTAGCACACCAGTTTATCCTCCCACACAGCCCTGAGCCTGGCTCTGTCTTCTTCTTTTTTTTTTTTGGTGAAACCAGGGATTGAACTCAGGCCTCTGCGCTTGCCAGGCAAGTGTTTATTCCACTGAGCCATCTCCCTGGCCTGGCTCTGTCTTCTTGTTTATGTAATTTGGGCCAAGTTACTTGACCTCTCCAAGTCTTAGTTGCCTTACCGTAAAGCGGAATTAACAGTAATGGTTACCTATCTCATGGAAATATGTGGAGGATTATAGTACATCAAATGTATAGGGTTTGGCGTAGTGCCTGGACACACGGTAAACACTCAGAAATGGCAATTTGCTCTTATTTCCACATGAAGTCCTCTTGTCTCAGCATCCCCAGCACTGTGATTACAGGTGTGCGCTACCAGTACAGTGTAGGGCCAGCATGGCATGTAGTATCGGGGATCGAACTCAGGTCCTTGAGCTTGCAAGGCAGGCGCTTAGACCACTGAGCTATCCCCCCAGCCCCACAAAAACATTCTTAATGGAGGAAAAGGACTGTCTGGGCTCCCAATTTCAGTCCAGTCACCTGGCACGTTTGCTTTTGGACCTGTGGCAAGGCAGACATCATGGCAGAAGCATGGAGCAGAGTAACAGCATGCATGGGGATCCTGATGTCCCTTCAAGGACACAACCCCAAGCAACTACCTTCCTTCTAGGAGGCCTCAGCTCCTACAGCTTCCACCCCCTCCCCCTGGTGCCATAAACTGGTGACCAAGCCTTTAGCATGAGCCTTTGAGATCTAAATTGTAACAAATGTTTACTGTTTTCTAAGAGGAGCTCAGCCCTGAACTACCACACACATTCTATTCAATGTGCAAAACCTGTATCTTTCTCCAGAGGTCTACCAAATATTGTTAAGAATGCAAAATCTAGAACAAAAATGTGATGAGATTTTTCTTTTTTTTTTTTTAAGAGCCTTAGCTCTACTTACTGAGTAAGCAGTTCGGTGCCTTTCACAGTGTCTTTTCCTGTCAGTTCTCTTTCTGTTATACTTTGTAATTGTAAAGGGAACATGAAAATTCCATACTTGTAAGAGACAGCAACTAAAAGCCCTTGCTTAAAACATCTAGATAGGAAAGTAATCCAGCCGCGGTTTCAGTCCTGTGTGCAGAACTGAGAGTCAGGCCAGGGACCCAGAGGGCAGCATTCCCACGTCTTCCAACCACCACCAACTGCATTTCAAAAACCACTAGACAAAACATTGGCGCGTATTTGGCTTTTTGTGTTATCTGGGCTTCTTTCCTTCCCCATCATGGACAACTGAGGCTTCAGTATATTCTAGCGACATTCTAGTAGATGAAGAGGGCAGTCCTGAAGGCAATGTGAACTTCTGTTAGCATATTTACTCTTGCTGTCTTCCTTCCTCTCCTTTGTGTAACTCAGGACGCTCTCTGAGAGAAGAGACACAAGCCTTCTTAGATGGACCGCGGGACCCGGAGCTGGGATGCCAAGTTTTATGAAAAGGTCTGCTATTCAACTGCTCGGCTACCTTCACATGGGCAAACCACTGCTCTGTGCTTTCTCCTGTGCTTGCTTGCTAAGTATCAGTGAGAGGCTCACATTTGAGGGTTACTGTGTGGGGGTGCTTTTGAGGTTTACAATGGTAGTTTTGGGGCCCGGGAGATGTTTCCGAGGTTTGAGATGGTAGGTTTCCTCGCAGCCAACTGACCCCGAATCCCTGATGTCACAGCACTCCCCCACTGCGTTTTCATCTGACACCTTTCGGAGTCTTGGAGCTGCGGTTGGCAGGCTCACTCCACAGGTGACACAGACCTCGTTGCCTCCTCTGTCTTCAGAAATGAAATGTGCTACTTTATGTCCTTCTGTTGCTGGCACCCCTCTTCCCTGGTTCTCTTGTAGGACACAGCAGCTTTCTCTGCCACACTGATAGTTCTTTTGAAATGTTTTGGGTTAGGAATACTAGAGGTTTATTTATTTATTTATTTTTTATGGCGGAACCGGGCATTTGAACTCAGACCCCTGCCCTTGCCAGGCAAGCGCTTATGCTACTGAGCCATGTCCCGTGCTCCAATACTAGAGTTTAAGCCAGATCTCGGAAGGGCCAGGCTGTTTGGGATTTTGATAGGAAGCAGCCAGGGACTTTCTTTTGTTACAGTTCATATAATAGGCAACAAAATGTCCCTGGTCAGCAGAACATTGCTAGGCAGAGATCCTCAGCAGCTAATTAAATGCTTGCAAGGCCTGATTTTCTCATCTGTGGGTCAGCTCATAAATGCAAATCTCTGAAGTGCAGCGTGAAATTAACCAAGAGTAATTTGTTTTGAGCTGTATATATTTACGTAATTTCTGATGCCATCAAATGAAAAAGCACTCTCCAAACAAACCTAGGGAGGCCCAGGAAATATGCTACTTCTTCGTGGTAGCGGGTAGCAGAGGGGAGTTTGGGCAGCAACACAGCCTAATCCTTTGGATTTAAAACAGTAATCAAAAGAACTGCGCCTCCCGGAGCTGAGTTCGCCTTAGGGACACAGCGTATTAGTTCCAGGTGACAAGCCAGGGGCTGGGGGGGGGGGAGGGTCTTATCGCTACGTCCCCACATTACTCACGCGTGGCTTCCCCGGCCACTGTGGCTTCCCCCGAGCGCAGTTTCTAGGTCCGCCTCCTAGCAGCGCGGGCCGGCGCCCCGGCGGCTCGGGCCCGCGCGGTGGGCGCGCTGGGGGCTCAGGCGGGCCTTGGGGACCCTTCCGCGCGGCCCTCCGCTCCGACGAAGGCCGTGTGCGTCGCCGGCCCGGCGGGCCGAAACGCACGCTGGAAACGGGAAGGCGAGGCCGCGGCGAGCACTCGGCGCGAGACGAAGGGCCGGAGGCAGCCACCGAGGTAAGGACGGACCAGCCATCCTGCGGCACAGCCTGGAAGGGAAGCTTCCGTTACCGCCGTCGGAAACGAGCTCCACCGCCACGAAGACCGTCCGAGCGCCGCCGCCGCCGCCTCGCCG